GGTGAATAATGCACCATGACTAATAGCCGTGGTCTGACCAGTCTGAAACAGCTTCAAGTACCCGTGACCTTTTGAAGAGCCACTAGTCAGACGCTAACAAAAAAGCGTAACGCAAGCTCTCGCACCCCCTTCCTTTTATCAAATGGGCGTCAGGATGAATAAGCTGACAAAAACAACATGGAAGTAATCTGCTGAGTAATTCCACTAATATTCCACCGTGGGCTGGCTCTGAGAGTTTGATGCACACAGCTACGGAGGCACTGCGCTGACTCTGTTGCAGATGACAGTTTCTCATTAATCACACGGAAACATTACGTGTTGTTCCCCAGCTCACACGAACGTTCTCTGGGAACAGCACTCAAGCCATCAGCAAGTCACTGCGCCCTCCTGCAGATCTCCTTATGTGGAAAGCTTTCACACAACTGCTCCACGCATCGCACACCCCTGCGCTCAGCCCGTGGGACTTCACTCAGCACATGTGTTCCCCACACTCTTGAAAGGTCTTCGGTATGAGTTCTGCTCTCAGGAGATGGCACGCCAGTTAACTGCTTGGAGGTTGTTTCCTACAACTCTGTCAATCAACTCAGATCCACCAAGGCTGCAATGTCATTAGAACCAGCTTGGCAAAAGCAAATAACAGAGCTAATAACAACAACAACAGTACCAGTCAACTCATATTAGTACATTGCAGCTACAAATTAAAAGAGTACTTCTTCAAGGTCACTATCGCTGTACAGAGGGATCATGACTACCTTTCGACCTTCACCAGCAAGAAGAATGTTTAGCACCTTTTATATTGTTAGACCATGAAGACATACTCCTCTAAAGCAATGCATACTAATCGTGTGCAAGTGCAGGTGAAGTGCTTCCTGTTGTTAACAAACTTTGAGTCACTAATAGGCAGACAAACATCCATCATGTAGTTACATTATTACTGAAAGAGAGTGAATAATTCACAGGACAGTTCACTGCTTCAGTCTTTTTCAAGTCACAGAATGTATCTGTCCTTTTATGTTTCATACATTTTTATTCTAAAATCACTGATAACAGGCTGAGTTTGACCTATGGACATCTAGATTAAGTGATCAGGATTGCCCTATACATTATTTTATTTCCTGAGTAGTCACATTCACAGTTCTGATTCAAATACTGAAACTCACTGAAACATTCCTTGAAGCAACAAATGTCAGAAAGTAGTATGATCCACTCTATAAAGAGGTAGGAACAGACCACTGGTTACATTTTAAGTGCACACTGCTAAATCCTCAAATGATTGCATGGTCAGAAAAAAAAAAATGCACACCATTAACTATAATGAATTACCAGAGATAACTCAATAAAGCTTACTGGAAAGTGCTCAGAACTCCCAACTAAATCATCTGCTAGCTGTAGAAATCAAACGGCATTTACTTAGATGCTTAAATATTGTTTAGCCAGCAGTCAAATTGAGAACATAAGTCTGCCTCGGGTGAAAAGCCTGGCCTAAAGCAAGAGATGTGATATGACAGCCACCCAAGCCTTCGGGGAAAGTCTACTAGAGCATCCCAAGTTCGTGCCTAGCATGTGTTTAGAGAAGGCTGAACCCTAAAATCCAGAGATGACTGCTGGAACATAACAGAAATGCCAATTCAAATTTCAACCCGCTCCCGTCTAGAGGGAAACTTGTTTAAACCTGTGAGCAAAACTCATGATTGTAAAAGAATGAAAAGTGTGAAAGTCACACAGCTACGGAACTGATTATAAAGCAGTAAAGCAGACCTCTAAGCCATGGTCTGAGCAGTGAATATCAGAAGCCAAGACCAGTCCTGTTCTTAGGAAAACTCAAGCAGCAAGCATACCTAAAAAACATGATGACAGCGTAACAAACAGAGGCCCTTCTCAATTTCAAACAAGAAGCTGTGGACAAGAACAAAAGAGAGATGGGGAAATAAATATCTTAGAAGGGCTCTGACAATTCCAGTGATGAGAGGTGACAGGAAAGATTTTGAAGACAGAAGTAAACAGAGTGGAAGTCACAAACAGGAGAGCTGACAGCCAGAAACTGTTTGGATTTTAAATGAGCTCAGTGGACAGAGAAGGGGAAAGATCATTGAACTGTTACCCATGAATGACAAGGATGGAAGTGGAGCACTGTGAAAAGGAAGACATCCAGCATATTTGGCAGCAACAGCTTCAAGGAGGGTCTTGAACGGGGACATAGTGGCAACTGATGCTGCTTAGTCTCTGACATGTATCAAAGAAGAGGGAGATGGAGATAAGTGGAAAAGCATCCAACCTAGAAGGAGAGTTGAAGAAGAGAGAAGCACCAGAAAATTCAACACAGACAGGAGAAGAAAAGCCCTTGGGCATGTGCAGAATTGCTGATGAAGTGTTTACTGATGAGCGGTGAGAGAATTTCATCACGTCAGCTCAGCAAGCTGGGAAAAGCACCTCACAACCGAAAAAGGGCAGAAACAGTCCCTCAGACAAAGTCAGCAAGAGAGCAAAGATAGCATTCTAGAGATAGCATTTATAGCACAGTGTGGAGGAAGCTGAGGGGGAACGTTACAGCAGAGTCCATGGGAGATATGAATCCAACTCCTTTTTTTCTGATCTGTCAAAGATGTTTCTTCTCCCACCTACCCAAAGAAAAAGATCACCTTCCAAGTTTAAAATCAAGTTTCTAAAGGTTTGGAAAGGACATATTGGATCTAAGGAATAAGAAAACCTAATCAAACCTGTGGTCAGCCTCATTTACCTGTGGAAGGGCAGGAGGTTTTCAACACCATCAGTGAACCAGGAAGGGCAGCAAGGAGGGAAGAGGCTCTCCAACAAGAATGCCTAATATGAGTGCCTACATCCGCAGACATGGCCGACATTACTCCACCAGGAAGATCCATGGGCATCCAACAAGGTAAGATGCCTATAAACAAAATCATGCTAATGCCCACGCTGATGCACCTAATTGTGCCACGTGAGCTGCACAGCTGCTACAGTTAATAAAGGCATCTTCCTTCCTGATGAACCTGCTGAACTCCAACAGGATGCTCACCATTGGGCAGGAGCAATCTCTAACCTGATGCAATAGATTCAACTCCTGAGAAGAGGACTTGCTGAACAGCAACACAAAGTGCTGCATCCTCCTCCCTTCCATGGACAAACCACACTACACTGAGCTAGAGAGAGAAGACACCTTTTCCGATATAATGAAGCCTCTCAGCCTTATACAGATTAAGCTCCCTGTAAGAGGAGCGCTGGAAAAAGCAAGGTAGCATTGTATTGTATTAATGTCACTTAATGGTAACCGTGAGTGATTGCAATGCAATAAATATGGAGAGGAAATTACTGTAATTGATTGACAGTCTGGAAGCTTCCACATTCTATCTAATGAGAGAGACCTGCGAGAAGCTGCTGCAGTAGAGGCTATTAATGCAAATCATATGCACCATGCCTGCTCCCTGAATTATGCAATGCCATGTGAATGTCTAATCCATTTCACCAGGCTTGTCTCTATCGAGAAAGAATATTCCACTGACATGCTGATTAGTATATTAGGAGAGTTTCAGAAGTTCAGTGGTAAAGCAGGTGCCATCGCAGCGTCATTAATTTAGTTCAGAGCAAAACAAACAGGTCTGTATGGCCATCAAAATCACTGCATAAGTCTACAAGATAAGTTTGCCACAGCTGATGGGAATTTGCAGGAATGCCTTGTGATATGTGGTAGGAGTTAACAGATAAGGAAGGTATCACTTTTCTAGGGAACAATAACAGAGGACTTGAGAATTGAAGACAAGGAATAATGCTTGATATAGCTCCGTGATATTATACATGGCTTTCCCGAAAGAACACTGTGATAACAAATGGACAGGAAATTTAGAAATTTAGTTGGCATATTCATATTGCAGCAGTACCACAGACACTAGGCAGCATAAAAAGATGTAGGGAGATGGTGCCTGTCCCAAGCTTTCTGGGCTAATACCATTGTACTTTGCCTCTAAAAATGTATATTCTGATCAAATACCATTTAGATCTGTGATGAAAATGATTTTGAAGGAGTAATCCTGGTCCCCGGGGAGCACTTGTCCTTCATGCAAAGCTATAACACAATTAGCACCACAGTGTCTGTTAAAGAGAAGCACAGACCTGGACCACAGGAGACCTCACACAGTTTCAGATTAAGGGGATGTGACGAAAGCTCACAAAATGCTTCCTGAGCCTGCACTGGTTGTCTCTCTCATTTCCACAAAAGTAAAAATCATTCAACTTTAACAAGAAACTCAGAGAAGGCACTGTAACTCTTTACAGTATTCCTCACACTTTTCTTAGAATTGCTATTTTACAGACCTGGATCCTAAATAATACACCTGAACGCCGTGTGTCATTTGCCATCTAAAATGAACAATTACAGCAATCATTTTGCCTCAATAACCCTTGTGTTTAAAGGTCACAAGCTAGCCACATCAAGAAAAAAAAGCAGAGGGACAACTAAGTTGGTAACAGAAGTAAAAAACGCCTAAAGAATAGCTTTGTAATGAGATTGATTTTACTCTTCTCTCCTTATGCCAGCAGAGACCCAGTCCCATGGGATACCTCATCCTTTTACACCTGCCCAGCATCCTGTGGGAAATGAGAAGGTCTGAAATAGAGCAACCACATGGACTGGAGGGCTTAGGGCAATGCTTTTTTTCCAGGTCAACCAGCACTGAAGCCACTGGTCTTTACTCATGTAGAAGAAAAATCATAGAATCATAGAATGGCCTGGGTTGAAAAGGACCAACTCCCTGCCATGGGCAGGGTCACCAATCACCAGACCAGGCAGCCCAGAGCCACATCCAGCCTGGCCTTGAATGCCTTCAAGGATGGGGCATCCACTGCCTCCTCTGGGCAACCTGTTCCAGCACGTCATCACCCTCTGAGTGAAAAACTTCCTCCTAATATCCAACCTAGATCTCCCCTGCCTTAGTTTAAAACCATTCCCCCTTGTCCTATCACTATCCACTCACGTAACAGTCATATCCCACCTGTTTATGTGCTCTCTTCAAGCCACAATAAGATCTCCCTGGAGCCTTCTCTTCTCCAAGCTTAACAAGCCAAGCCTGCTTCCCGGTCCTCCCAGATTAAGAGAGGTCCCAAGGCACCTTCACACCTCCTACAAGAAAAAAAAAAAAAGAAGAACATGAGTTAGACACCATGCAGTAGATAGGGTCCTCTATGGTGATCCATGATGAATCTATGTTTTCCACTAGTTTGTCTGCAAGCACTTACAGCATTTGCTCAGAATGGAACATTTATTGTTAAGATATCATGGAGTTATTACTCGTTCAGTGAGTATACAAAACAGCCCCATTACAATCTAGGCTTTATGGCACCTGGACGTGCCTAGGGACAAACACTGAGAGCAGAACCAAAAGGATTTGGAAAATAAGTACATGAAAGGAGGCAGAGCTTGATAGTTGGCAAGTCAGTGCTGGGGAAGCAGAGGTCCATGTGTCCTTTTAACATTACTCTTGCAGGGAAAACATGCAGAAAGCCCCCAGCAGATTCAGACATTACTTTATCAGTGTTATTTATAGCATCACAACACAGAAGAGCCTCAGCCTCCATCAACTGGGCAAATGCAGCACAATGAAAGGGAGCTGCTCTCCAAAAAGACAAAAAAAAAAAAATTAAAAAAAAAATCCACCCCAACAGCTCCTCAGCAAGCAACAATGATTTCAGAGAATAGAGACATGCAGGACTGGAAGTTCTGGAGAAGCTGCTACCATTTTCTGGTAGCTACACAACTCCTAGGGGGCCGTGGGCACTCCAGGACCTGCATACCCCAAAGGGGCTGGGAACATCTACAGGGACATGACATATTTTGCTGTTTTCACTCTTTTTTGCACTGTTCCACCTCAGAGACTGCTTTCAGAAGGCAAGGAACGGGGGATGATTTGAAGAGACTTGCCTTATTAGCAAAAAGAATAAACTCCCCATGACAATTTCATCTTTTGAATTCACAACACAGAAATTCATCAGTGTTTCTCAGAGGGACTGAATTTGTCTGGGAGGGATGTGCAGTGCAGCTTGCTGCTGAGGAGGTGGGGCAGGGATGGGGAGGGGTTCTGCAAGAAGCAGAGGAGGCTTTGCTAGCCTTGGAGGAGTTATTTGCCACCCAGAGGCCAACACTTTCAGATTTTTGCAGAGATTGATGTTTTCAACATGTAGAAACACTCTGAGGAAAAAATATTTTGCATGTGTTCAGCTTCCAAGATTTCACTATTTTACTTGCAGAACAGCCCCATTACTTTCTGCACTCATTCAGCAGGAAGTTTACTTTTGGGCAGAACAGGCCTGAAATGACAAATCTCAATCCAGATTTCAATTGCTCCCAAAAGGCCAGTCCTCATGTGTCTGTGACTGCTGCACCAGTAGGAGCCAGCTATGCATTAACACCTCTCTGGCACTGGGGCAAGCGCAGCTTCTGCAGGAAAGCCAATGCTATACCTTGAAGAACACCCCGCACAGCCCGGTAATGAAGGAAGACGGTATTAACATTCCAATCAAAACATCCAGGAGGAGAAAAAGGAGAACTGGTCCTTCCAGTGTCAACTCCAATTAGGGGAAAATAGAAGCCGCAGATGAGAAATAGGAAGCATCTGTATGTGAAAGCATGTTTAGCTTTGAAGCTGGTGTGGGAATATTGGCTTAGTCCTTACTTTCCCCAAGTGTTATGTCATCTCATGTGTAATGTTGACACTTACAAGGATTACTTATTAAATAATTCCTTTACAAACAACAGGGAATAATTCTGGCCTTTGATATAGACAGATTACGATCTCAGATGCTACTACTGAGATCTTATATTCATCCGAACAGGCTAAGCACATTAAGAATCGGGCAAGAAAAACACACGAATGCAAAATATGGAAAGTAAATCCAAGGACAGGAAAATCAAAAAAGCCGTGCTGAGCCACAGTTTTTAGTACCTGGGAAAGGGAAATTACTGAGAGATTAAATCAGACCACATCAGTCTTCAATTTAGTAAGAACTGTGTTCTAATCCAATCTGGGCAGAAGGCCTTAATTCATTTTTTTTTTCCTTCCTTAACTTTTTTTTTTTTTTTCTTAAACAGCATCCTATTTTGAAACTGAAAAAGAAAAAATTAAAATTTCTAAAAGGAAGGTTTAAGAATAGCCTGCAGATGTCTAATTAACCTGCCACTGCCCTCTGGTCAGCTCCCAGTTACCCACTGGTGCTTCATCCAGGTTGTGGCTGCAGTCTGGTACAAAGCAGAGGCTCCCAGGCCAGCTCTGTAGAGGTTCAGCACTGCACATACGCTGCTCCTCCTAGTCCTGGAGCAATCCAGCCCGTTTCAGATTGCACAGAGCCAGAGTTAATAAGCTTTGCTAGTGCCTGCACCGGCTCTCTGCAGAGCTGGCCTGGATACTGTTGCTCTGCTTCAGAGCCTGGAGAACCTGGGCCCAGTCCTGCTCTGTTTCATGGGGATGCTGCAGGACTCCTATAAGATCTAACAGCAGGCTTGGAGATATCTCTGCCCGAACTCCTGAGAGGACAACGAGCAGCACTTTTTTCCATTTTTAAACTATCCTTTCACCAGGACTTTCTTTCCAACCACATCACGATGGGCATCCACTGTGACGTGGATGTTGGGGAGAGACTCCAAAATCTGAACCGAAAAAGCAACAGGATTAATTTGTTTCTTCAAACTTCAAGTCCTTCTGTGCACTTAAAGCAAATGAGGCATTAAAGCTGAGAAAACGCATGCAGGCCCCTGCAGCAGCACTTCCTCCGATCCTTGGGCAGCTTGAGAATGGTGAAGGCCTTTTCACCGTGTCCCATATAGATGCTTGGCCTACAACTCCAGCTAGCAGCACAATATGGGGCTACCCAGGGCAATGAGTGACCAACAGTTTAAAACTTTTCCATACATCTGAAAAACAAAGAGGCTTTTTCTCTCTGCACTGAAAGGTGTCAAGAGCAGAGCTTCCATCACCAGAGCCCACTGCTTGGGCCCCACCGATGGCCTGACAGCAGACCTGCTTCATATCAGGGTGATATACACCCTCACAAACCTTCCTTGAAACCTGTCACCAGAGGGAAGACCATCCCCTGAACCCCACCGTCCTTCCTGGCTGGTCAGAGCATGCTTCTGCTCTGTATTCTTCCAGTCACAGCAATGCAACTAAGGCAAAATGGCCCACCACTGGCCTCTCCCTGAGCTTGACAGAGAAGCTCATGCTTCTCATTGAAAGAAATGAAGCCAGAAACACTTTTTTTTTTTTTTAAAGCAGCAATTTGAAAAACAAAGCAAGGAGAACTTTTTCCAGCCTAGAGAGTGGCACAGAGAAGAGAATAAAGACTAAATGACTGAAAGCCTGCAGAACATTTTATAAAACAGTTATTTTTCCCCCAAACAATGGTACTCTGTCCCTGACATGAATCAAAAAATGTCACAAGGCAGTTTGGCGAGGCCGCATGTGAATGCTGGGTATTGAGCTGCAGCAGCTGCAGGCGGACTTTGTGGTTAACCCTGTGAGACTTTCACTGCTACAGCTGGCTTCCATTCTGACACTGTGTCCGAGCAGCCGCTCCTTCCCACTGCTGCTCAATAGAATCACTGCCTTATCAGCTCCTGCGCTTCACGTGCAAGCATCACAGCATCAGCTCAAAGGGACACACAGCAAGTTAGGTGATATCTCTGCACATGCCTCTGGGTCACTTGGAAGCCCTGCCTCCAGCATCAGACTGGGAGGTCTGCTGTCATTTCCTTGCAAACCATAACACTATGGTTGTGCACTGACATGTTTAGTCCTCTGATATCCTGTTCTACAATACAGTACTTCCTTCCTAGAGCTATCAGTGTAAGTGATGCTCTCAGTTCATGCAACACCAGAGTACAACATGACAGTAGAGTACAGATAGTGAAGAGTAAATATTTCGCATATCAATTGTCACGAAGATTTCTGCAGTTCTTCAAGATTACTACATTACTCATAAAATATAAATTAGTCTTCCTCACAACCTGCCTTCCCCACTGAAAAAATAAGTGAGGAAAGGCGTACAATTTTCAAGAAATGCAAATCTAATTCTACAGAAAAGAAGTTTGCGCTATTTTTTCTTAATATTATTATTTTAAAAGTTATACTTTATGATCTGTGACTGATGACCAGCTTTAACCACATCTTTCCAAGGCAGTATTTTGAACAGAATTCTTGACTGGTATCTTTAAACAAATTCAGAACTGCTCTAGTGTCTCTGAGTTAACCTCTCTCCATGCGACAAAAATGGAATTGGTTTTAAATTCTGATCAAAGTGATTTAGTATTAAGTTGCATGCTCTTCCATGCACCAGTGCAACTCCTTGCATACCGATTAGTCCCATTATGGAGGCATAGGCAACTGCAAAGGCAAAACATTGGACCAGTGAGCTCCTGAACTCAATTCCAGTGCGAAGAGAAAAAAAGGAAAGCTGGAAATCTTGCATCTCACCAGTACATTTACATGCACACAGGGATTTACATATTCGATCATTTTATACATTTGTACCAACATAAGCCTGCAGCCAGGTTAACAGAGTGAAAGATTTATGGAGTATCACTGAAATGATTTAAAACTACCTCTTCCTTTAGAATTCTGTTATCCTCATTTATGACACCCATAGGAAATTCTTCTGGGGCTTTTCTTCAATTTGTTTGTTTTACATATTTATTTATTTTTAGAAAGCTTTCATTCAGGGCTTTCTTAGAAGGATGGCTTCAGCCCTAACCACTGCATGCATGGCCACCCCATCCCAGCTTTATTACCTTGCTGAGGCCACATGCCCACCCCTCACTAAGCCTCCTGTATCACATCCTTTTTTCCCTCCAGCCCAGCCTACAGGCAGCACAAATATGTAATGGATATCTGCAGAAGCAAGCAGCTGGAAGATACATATTAACTTAAAACATAAGGCCTTTCTGATATGACCTTTCAAAACAAGCAAGCATGCATTAAAAGTAGCAGGCACCCCTATATTTTTCCACAGATTTTTTTTAAAGATGGAGGCTGGAAACAAAAGGCAAATTCCAGCACAGGCAAGTTGCTTGTGAGTGTGCTCAGTACAGGATGGTGTGGCAGCCAAGAAAGCTCCTGCTTCTCTCCATCACCC